AGCAGAGTTTGAGATGTCTATTAGGTAATTGGTGATACAAGACTAGATTTCCGGGGAGAAATTAGGGCAGAATATTTAGGTTTAATTGTCATCAGCATAAATGTTATTTAGAGACAAAAGGGCTCAGGACAGAGCCTTGAGGGATACCCCATGCTAGGGCGTTTGAGACTAAGAAGGAGCAATCACAAAGGAAGAGAACCAAGAGAAACCAGTCATGATAAAACCAGAGGAGAAAATATCTAGGAGAAGGGAGTACTGTGTCAAAAGATGGAGAGCTGAGTAGGATGAGTACTAAGAAAAGATTACAGGATTAATAATTAAGAGCTTTTTGGTAGCCTCGGGGAGAACAGTGGTAGGGTTAGAAGCCAGATTGTGAGAGTCTGAGAAGTGAATGAGTTGTGCGAAAGTAGAGGCAAGGAATTTTTCTCTAGGAGGTTTGGTGTGACAGCAAGGCAAGGATCAAAGTGATAACTTTGATAATGCAGTTTAAATACAAATAATCACAAGCAGATATTGTAATTTTAATTTGAAGTAAAATTTTCATCTCATCATCTCTGTTTTCTTTACCTTATAGATTAAAAAAATGCACTTTGTCAGTTGACCCAGCTTGATCCTTTGAGGTATTCTTAAATTACCAAGTCACAGTGATGCTTAAGAGGTAGAATTTTCTTCATTGCTTTAGGATTTCTACTTGAACCTGTTTATTACCCTTACTTTTTTACATTTGTGTATAGATATCTGAGGCAGTTGGCTTTATTGCCTTGTGTTATCCTCTCCCATTAATTACTATTCCTCTCCTATTCCTCCCATGCTGTGTGCCAGTTTGTCAGTTTTATGTGAGATATTTTTCCCTCCTCTCCTTTTCATTTTAAAGCTCTTTTGATGAGATTTACAAAGCTACAGGCACTTTTTTTTTACTGTCTTTTCTTAGGTACATGCCCATCATTCCTGTCTATTCTGAGACCTCATATTCATAGACAATTGTTCACTCCTCAAATTTTCTTTTCTTTTCTCAAGCCTCTGATTTCACTCAGTAGTAGGGATGGGAATAGGGACTGCACCTGTGATTTCACTCTTACTGCAAATTCTGGGGACAGGAAACTGTTTCTACCAGTTCATGTCTGTGTATTCTCTACATTTTATAGTCTTAGTCAGAATTTGGGTGAAAGAGATTAAGTAACTTGCCCAGAGTCACACAACACAGATAGTATGTGTCAGAGGCATGATTCAAACCTAGGTTTTTCCTGGCTTCAAGGCCAGCCCTCCATCCATTAGGGTGCACTGCCTCTCTTAAAATAGTGCTACCAAACAAAGCAAAACAAAAAACCCCCAAACTCTTAAGTTCTTCAGTTTCTTGACCAGGGCGTCATCATCCTTAGCAATGCTTTCTAGGTTATTTCTGGTGACGTCATTTATTCTCACATGGGTTTCCAGCAATAGATAGGTTTGACAAGTCCTAGAAGGTGTTCTCTTATGTTCTGGATACAAGTTCCTGGAAGACAATAATCTCCCTCTTGTTTGTGTTACAGTGAGAGGCAACCACTTGGTAGTGAGTCATCTTTCACCGCTGTTTCCTAATGGTACCTGAAGGGCCATGTCATTCTTTAAAGAATAAGAAGCTACTTCCTCCATTGAAGGCCCAGTTACCTGCTTTTGCAGAAAGACCTTATTACTTGGATTCAGATGTTCAGGGCAGTGCCCTGGAAGTGCTTTGGAATCTAGTCTTGGAATCCTCTACCATTTTGGTTAGTGGGACCTCCCTCTTTCTGGCCTGCTGCAGACCAGTTCTTTCAGTCTGCCCGTCTTCTGCTCTGCCAGTGGTTGATACCACCATTCCTTTCTCCTTCCCACCTCTGGCCCTAGTAGCTATAATAAAAATCAACTCCATGGTTGCTCCTAAAAAGGGCTTGTCATTTGTCTGCCCTGTTGTCCCATTTATCATTCATAGGTCTTTCCTGACCGAAACACTCTTCTCTGGATGACTCCCCATTTGTACCATCTCTCCTTGTTAGAATGGAAGCACTTTGTGGGATCAGAGGTGGTCTCTCTTTTGTATTTGTATCCTGGTGCTTTGCATTGTGTTTGGGATGTGGTTAGCATTTTTCTTTTTTTTTATTCATTCATTCTTTTCTTTCTCGGATCTTGTTCATTTGCCTGCCAACCTCCTCATACCATTTGGAATCCTTCTGTGTCTCCTCTTGCCTCCCCCATCTCCCATTTGTTTCAGATTTCAGAGGAGAGATGTCTTACCGCTGCCCTTTCTGTGACAGAGACCAATTTGTATGTTAGGCACTTTAGGTGCTACTTGGTACTGGCAGAAAGACAAACAACACACTTTCCAGAATTCTCTTGGCCTTACAAGCTTGCTGGAATTGAGATCCTCAGTCCTTTATCTTTTTAGTGGTTCCCTTGCCTTACTATTGTGCCTAGCCCTTGGGACTCACTGCCTGGCTGCCTTGCTACTGACTTAAGTCACCAGAAGCACCTAAGAAGGGCCTAGTCTGTTTATGACAGGGCTTCCTGCCTTTTCTTTCTTTAGCTGCCTTTTAATTAGCTTTGAGCTCATTCTTACCACCTCCTAATGTACAGAAAAGCAGACAGCAACAGGGGCTGATTCAGGAGAAGAAATGCCTTTTATGTAATTATATTTATATACCTTGCTGCAGATTTCCAGATGTTCCCATGTATTTCCTTGGTTACTTGACTCTCTGTGAAGAAGTCACTTTCTTAATGAAGTATTTTCTGGTCGTATTAATTTAGTGGTTAAACTCTCTTGTTATTTTATGTTAGGTCAAGGTAGATCCCAGCAGGCCCAGTCAGCATTGTTTGTTTCCTGGTCTCATATTCAGCCAGTATCTGACTAGTCACCTCTCAAGTGAGGTGCCTTTGTCACAGTGAGGATGGGGAGACACAGCTCAGAGTTCATGCATTAAGAGAACATCTGCACAGTGGAGATGGCCTGACTTTCCTCTGCTTTCCCTTGTACCTCTCTTGTACCCCATTCTTCAGTATAATATAGCTCAAACACCCAAATGGATCTATGATGCCATCAGATCTTGGGGTCTGGGTATTTCCTCCCAAAATGCAGGTCACCATCCATCCATGCCTGTCTCTTCCTCACAGCTCTTGCCCATGTCCTCCCATTTTCTTGACATTATGAAGGTATGAGAGAATAATAATTGGGAGCAAACATTGATTATCTCTTGCTTTTATCCTGTGACAATCCTGCCTATTTCACTCTTTTTTTTTTCTGATGACATCCATTACTTTCTTTCATAAGTAATTCTGTTTGTGATATTTTGCTATGTACTCACATCTACCATGGGTGGATCTTCATTGTCCTTTAGGTGATCCTAGTCTTTAGTTTTTATGAGGTAGTAGCGTTTCATGTGCCACAGTCATACAAACCCTTTAAAGGATATTGACGTCAAAAAGATGGGTCTTTTTTGGGGATCCTCAAAAGAATTTCGCAAATTTCCCGAAGGCATCCTTCCTGGCTTTCTTCTTCTTCTTAAATCCTCAGCTTAACTCATTGTCCATTTGCAATTTTTATTCAAGATATACATACTGTGGGGGCAGCTCTGTAGTTTCTCTGTCCCATTGCATATTATAATCTGGGTGATAGGCATTCGTCATCCACTTTTTCTCCCCTGGATGGATCATTATTCTTGTGACTTGTTATATCCCTCTACTTCTCTTCCAATATCAACTCAGTGAGGGAATTGATCTGGTTTTCATTAAATCTTTGTACATTACTACTAGCACTGGGCTTAGTAAATTGTAGCAGTCACTTATTCAGCATTTTTTTGAGTGAATGAGTAGAACAGCCTTTGGTCACAGTGTCACAGAATGTTATGGTTGGAAAAATACTTCAGAGCCAACTGGTCCATACTGGGAAAGAATCATTTCTGTCATTGACAAATGGCCAGCTCATGGTACCAGTGAGGGGGAACCCACTAAATCCCTTCCTTTGATCCAGAATTAAACGTGAGGCTAGTTTTCTTGGAACTGATTCATGAAACTGGAAGACTGGTTTGGTAGGTGGCTTCCTGAATTGAGCACTGGGCTTAGAGTTAAGAAGACCTGAATTTTATCTCCACTGTAGATGTTTACTGTGTGGCCCTGGGCATGGCTTAGCCTCTCTAGGCCTCAGTTTCCTCATCTGTAAAATGAGAATGAAACCTGGCTATTATGAAGGTCAGTTGAGATTATGTATATATATGAAGCGCTTTGCAAACTTTAAAGCACCAAAATAATTCTAGCTGTTATAATTATTTCCTTTCCCAGGGCTGGAATCCCGCCCTGGATTCCTTCCTGGGCCTTCACACTTGTTAATGAATGAATGAAACTAAAGGAAAGGATACCTTTGTAATGTAAACAGTTCCCTTCCTTTCCCAAGATAAAAGGGCTTTCTTTAAGCTGATTCCCTTCTCACTCCCCTTGGTTTTCGCCTGGGCCTCCATTTGCTTGCCTGGCCTGCTAAGTGGCCAGGTACCTTTCTAAAGGTGTGCCACTAAACCTGGGAACTGCTGCTGGTCTTCTTCCCCTGGTACAGCAGCTGATTGACTGAATGGTTCAGAAGGTTTCCAAGAGCACAGGTGACTTCCTGTTGGGCTCAGCATGCTTAAAGGAGTTCCCCACCTTTCTCTCCCTTTCCTCTTCTGCCACCTTGGCTCCTGGTACCAGACTTCTCGCCTGCGCTAGTAGATGTTTCATCTGGGGTAAAATTTCCTACGGGGAAGGAAGTGAGGATGGGAGAGGCCTGGCAGAGTGAGGCCAGGCCTTGGGCTTCAATACTAGGACCAAAGCCTTCCTGCTTGGGAGGGGTGTTGGGCGGGGGAGTGGTAAATTTTGCTTCCTTTTGAATGCCTGAGGGTGAGTGTTTGTAGTGGTGTTTGGGTGGTGTGCAGATACCCAGAGATAATAGAGATAATAGGGATTTGCTTCCGTAATGAGTTTCCTGAACAATAAGTATAATGTTCAATTTCTTTTTGTTACAGATGGAAGAAAAGAGGCGAAAATACTCCATCAGCAGTGATAACTCAGACACCACTGACAGTAAGACCTTTAATTCAAGGCTTTAAACATGATAACTAAGCTATTCACCTCAAATTGGGAAGACATTTGAATAATTACTTTGCTGGGGTGGGGGTGGGGGTGGGGGTGGAACTGCCCTAGCTGGGTGGTCACTTGACCGTAACTTGTACCTGGGCTTCAGTTCTTTACAGAAGTTTTTTGAAAAAAAATTCAAAAACCAAAAATCCACAAATGGATGCTGTGTATCAGCTTACACTATGTTCTGGTATCCAAGTTTGAGTCAGAGTAGACCACCACACAGAACCGGCCTGTCTAGGCTTCGAGGAGGGGGAGGTGGGGAGGAGTATGGGGAGGAAGGAACAAAGGGAAAAGTGGAATGGAATCAATAAGCATTTATTAAGCACCAACCCTGTGCTAGGCCCGGGGAAATAGATAAAAATAGAAAAGTCCTGATCAAGGACGTTATATTCTGTGGAGAAAGGGGATGGGTATACATAGAGGCATATAAAAAAATACAGGGTGATTTTGTAAGGGGGAAGGTACTAGCGCCTGCGACAGAGGAGAGAGAATCAGGAAAGACTTTGTAGAGGAGGTTATGTTGAATTAGGCTGACTTTTGGAGGAAACTAAGAATTGTAAGAGTTCTCTGCACCCCAGAAACAGTTGTTTGGATTGAGGGAGGGACTGAATAGTTAATACAAATTCTCCGGACCACAGCACTCAGTAGGTTCCCTTTTTTAGAAGCCTGGTACCATTAACGGAAGGGAGCACAGCCCCTTCATCTCAGAAGAGAAAAACTGAGGACCGGTCAAGCAGTCACAGAGCAAAAACAGAGACTTTCCTACCAATGGTTTCATGTTGTTTTAAATAAAACATTTTGGTATTGTGCTGAGGTATCAGCTGCTGAGGGAGAACCCCGTGATTAGTCGAAAGTGGTGATTGGAAATCTCTTAAAAATCACATGATAACAATAATCCTCCTCGAGTTATTAAAAAAAAAGCCACATTCTGGTCCTTGTAGAGTATCTTCTGATTTACCAAGTTCTTACAGTGATTAGGAGTGCTGGATTAGGAGTCCTGGGACTTACTTGCCTTCTAGCCTCAAATATGCCTGTAGCCTAGAGCAAGTACCTTTATTTCTCTGGGCCTCAGTCTCCTCTTCTGTACAGTTAGGGCTAGAGGGCCTCTACACCTTCCAGCTCCTAAGGCAGGCAAGTATCAACATCCTCATTTTTGTAGATGATGAAACAGGCTGAAGAGTGAACTGTTTGTCCTGGGTCATCTGAAGCCATTGAGAGAGAGGACTGCAACTCACGGGAGCTTCTGATTTCTAATGCTGAACCCTTTCCACAACACCATTCATCTGAGTGTAAAGCCCACAGACTTCAGGGGTCTTGAAACTTAGCAATCAGAGAAGTTTGGATAGAGGAAGGCTTTGGAGCATTGTAAATAAGTGAAGTTGTATCTGTGAGCCAGAGGCATCAACTGAAGAGAATCCGTCTACCTCAGGAAAGAATACCCCTGCAGCTCTCACTTTTCACTCCAGTTAGGTTAGCCATCTTTTCCTCCCCTCCCCCTCATTTCCCACATCTCAATAGGCCCTTTCTTCCTTGATTTACTTACCTAAGTCTCTCTGTTCCTTTCAGGCCCAGATCAGCCAGTCAACAACTGGAAAAGTTTGGGAGCCAGGGGAGAAGAAGCAGACTAAAAAGCTTTAAAAAGCCAAGTAGAGGATTTTATATTTGATGCTAGAGAAGATACAGAAAGATGGGGGTGGGGTGAGGTAACCATGGTCAGACCTGAGCTTTTTAGAAAGCTCATTTGGACATCGGAGTGGAAGATAGATTGGAGTGGGGAGAGACTGGGGGCAGGAAGACCAAGCAGTAGTTTAAGATGTTAGAAATGTGACACTTGAGGTCTGGAGAGGGGTCAGGGCTGGATAAATAGATTTGAAAATCGTCAGCAGAGAGATGATAATTGAATCCATGGGAGTTGGTGCTGGGTGCATATTGGGTACACAGAAATGAAAGGGGAACACTGTCCCACCACCCTTGAAGAGTTTACATTTCACACACACACACACACACACACACACACACACACACACACACACACACAACACACGAAAATTGAAGGATGCAGAGATCATTTTCCACTCAGGAGTTGGCTTCATGAAGGCAACAGCAGGAGTCTGGCCTTGAAATGAGGGCTTGGGAGAGTGTTTTCCAGGTATGGGCAGTCTTACAAGAGGTGCGAAAGGACAGGATAAGGTGGGGAGTAGTGAAACAGTACAGACGTGTAATGAAAAACAGAGTTTGTGAAGGAAGGGTAGGTAGCATTTAGATAGGTGGGAGCCTAGACTTTTTGCTTTATCTAGGTTTGTGCCTGGTCCTCTGGCCCTCAGAGCATTAGACCAGCTGGGCTCCTGCCTAGACGGTGGCAGCTTCATATGGCCAAAGGAGCCTTGGACTGGAAGGGGGGAAGGCTGTGCTAGCCCCTCACTGTATTGTGTGAAGTTAGGCCATTCACTACCCTTCTGGTTGCCCCATCCTTTTAATTAGGGATTTGCACCAGATAATCTGAGGGGACTTTTAACTCTGGGACTTGGATTCCAAATTGTACGTGCCTCTTTGGCCACAAGCCAAATTCTCTTCTCCTAAAATAGAAAGCTTAAAGATTTAGTCTGAGCCTGTGATAGTCTGAGGCCTCAGAACCTTTATCTCAGTAGACTTTGATATTCAAGCTGAATGAAAAAAAACCTTCTCCCTCCTACTACTGTAATTGGTTACAATTGTAAACAAAACTTTGACCTTTTTTGATGGCTTTACTTAGTAGGAGAAGGAAGTATTGTTATGGTTGGTGGGAGATTTTTTTGCCCTGTGGTAGGAACTTAGTTCAGAGAAACTAAATGGAAACTTTCTGATTGTTGGGTTTTTTTTTTTTGATACCTCTGAGTGGATTATGTATGGGAAGATAGGAAATTTCTGAATGAAGAAGTTGTAAAGGTTCCCACGCAATTGTTTTTCAGAGGTTGGGGAGCTAGAAATAGGTTATTTCCTAACTGTTTCTTTCTCCTCTCAAAGCCCTCTCTCTTCCATCAATGTTTGGGTTCCTAGCATGACCTTAAAAGGAAAGAATAGTGGCCCTAGAGCTATTTCAAGGAGCCTCATTGCCAAGGTGTACATTTCGGTGATTGCCTGCTCTGCCATATTAAAGTGGACACATGTAGTCGAACCTAACAAGTATGCCAAGTCGTACCTCCTAGTCCATATTTGGGAGCTGTATCCAGTTTTTAACTGGATCCTTCTGATCATCCTCAAAAGGACTGTGGGATAGGTTAAAGGGGAAAGACAGTATTTCCATTTCATAGATGAGAAGACTGAGCCATAGGACAGGGAAAAAGTACTTCACACAATCACGGAGAGGTCTGAGAGTAGCATAGAAGACCTAATTTTTCTCGAATCTTCAGCTGTCATCCCAGGTAACTGAAGATGGTGGTGGGAAGAAAGGCACGGGATATGTAGTGTTTTCTGAGTCTTAACTTGACAGATCAGCATTTAAGGCCCAGTTGGCCTCCAGCCAAGATCCTATGTTTCTCTCTGTCTTTGTGGTGTCTAGTTCACAGGAAGTTCAGAGTTTCCAAAAGCTGACTTACACCTTTTGGTTAGTTGCCGCTCCCCTGGTTTCCCCAAAACTAGTTTTTATTATTCCTTGGGAATAAATTGCTGTTTAACTTGGTTTAAACTTTAATGTTTAGGCAACTTTTAATATAAACTCTACTTGGTTTAGCCGTAAAAGGTTGGTGCTGTGGCTAAGGTTGTTACTGTTGGGATTACAGGCTCCTCTTTGTCCAGGGTTGATGATTTGGTCTTCCAGGTGGTTTGGGGCCCTCCGGAAGCTTTCCAGGTCTCTGTGCTGGGGAGCCATCTCCATGGATAACCTTCCCTATTCATTCTTTCTAGGTCATACCACCTCCAATTCAAGATGTTCCAAGATTCCCACCAACAAGCCCAGTTGGCCCAGGCAGAAAGAGAAGAAGCCATCAGAGGTGTGTCTGATTTCCTCTTCACAGTTCTCTGGGGACGAAATCTCCCTAGTCCCAGGGCTGTAGCTAGAGCTGGAACAGGGGTCATTTTCCCTGAAAATCAAGAGAAATAGGGAAGTGTCAGCTTATAGCAGGCCCAGAAACTCTTCCTAGTTCAGAGGCCAGTATTAATCCTACAGAGTATTCATTCATTCATTCAACAAGTCCATGTGGAATATTTGTCATGGAATGGGTTTCATTAATATTGCCCGGGGAGGGGGGGGGGGGAGGGGGAATGATGGTATGTGGAAGAAGGGTAAGACTTGGTTCCTGCCTTAGCAGAGCTCCCAGAATGGTTGAAAACATCCAGCATGTACAAAAGAAATAACTAAATAACTTAAACCTTGCATATATTTAGTACCAGATGAGGTCCCCAGGCAGAAGCAGCTGTGGGCTAATGGCCTGAAAACTCAATTTAGCGTCAGAGAGCCTAGGTCTTGGCTCTGTTCTTGCTCAGCCTTAAGCAACCTCCTTGGGTTTGTTCCCTCATCTGTAGAATGAGGGGTTTGGCCTGGATGATCTCTAGCTTCCCTTCTAGCCATGAAGCAAGTGTTTCGGGGGGGGGTAGGAGTTAGGAGTTTAGGGGAAAGAGAGGTGGGCCTTAAGTGGCACAAAAACAGAAAGGGAACTTTAAGGTAGCCTCTTAGGCTGGGCATGCAGTTCTTTACTGAAAAAGAAGAAGTCATATTTTCCAGCCAGAGGGAGGATAATCAGGGAGGCATTCTCATAATATATTAGAGCGGGGAGGGACTTTAGAGTACACCTGGTCCATCTTCCTTATTTGACAGATGAAGAAACTGAGTCTCAGAGTAAGAAAGGACTTGCCCAAAGTCACACATTAAGTCATTTCCAGAGCCTGAGCTAGGACCCAGATCTTGATTCCCAGTCGAAAGGTTTTTTCATTAGGAATTTAAGCTTAGCCCAGGAAAGGGGTCATGGCTCTGTTGCCTCAGTGCAGATCTCATCCCACTTGAGACCAGAAAATGCCTGAAAGGGGAGGTTGAGGCTAGTCCTGAAGAAAGCCAGAAGTTCCCTGGACTCAGCAAGCTTGTCTGGGAATTGGGTATCATCAACAAAATTTTGAAGGAAGAGATAAGTTTGACACTTGGGGCCTTGTATTCTTCCTGGTGATAGAATGTCAGAGTGTGGGGGTGGGGGCGAGGTGGGAAAGGAAGGTGTTTTCTGAGCCTTAGCCTTTGGCTGGAGGTCAGAGGCCCCTCTCCTCAAGTTGACACAGCACTCATCAGAGTGATCTCATCGGAGCCTTAACAACACTTTTTCCCCTTTTTATATCTGAGTCTCAGAGATGTTGACCTGTTTGTGATCACAAAGCTAGAAAGCTAGAGGCAGAATTTAACCTAGGTCTTCCTATTTCTAAGTCTAGAACTTGTCTAGCTCTCACTTTGGAGACTGAGTACACTCTCCCTTCCCCAATTTTATACATAAAAAAACAAACCCAAGGGGGAAGTGACTTGCCCAAAGTCACAAAATTAGTAACTCCTGAGATTCAGTTGACTTAAAATCAAGGTTTCTTTCCATCTGTCTGCATGGTCATAGAGAGCCAGTGTGGTATAGTAATGGTAGACTTGGAGTCCGGAAAACTTGGGTTGGAATTCCTTCTCAAACACTTCCTGGCTGTGTGACTGTGGGCTTGTCCCTTAACAAGCTCTTAGTTTCCTCATCTGTGAAATGAGAGAGAATATTAGCATCTATCTCATAGGGTTGTTGTGAGGATCAAATGAGACAGTAGCATCATAAATCTAAAGCTCACAGGGACCTCGAAGGCCAATTAGTCCAGTCACCTCATATTACTGATGAGGAAGCTGAGGCCCAGGGAAGTTGTGTGATTTGCCCAAGGTCACACAGGGTAGTAAGCATCAGGATTGGTATTTGAACACAAGTCCTTTGACCCTAAAGCCAATGCTCTTTTCACTGTAGAGCACTTTGTAAACCTTAAGATGGTATATAAATATTAACTATTATTAGTCATTTAACCTCTTAGGCTCTGGACTTCCAAGGAGAAACTTCAGCAGTTAAAACACCAGCTCTCCCTAAGTCATTGTGGGAGAGAAAGCTGGATTCTCCCTGTGGAACTGATGGAGGAAAAGTATGCAGGAGTATTGTAATAACAGCTCATTTTTATGTAGTGCTTTCAGGGTGACAAAGCATCTTCCTGCACATTCTTTCATTTGCTCTTTACTACAGCCCTGTGAGGTAAGTAATGGAGCTGGATAAGATGAGTAAACTGAGGCTCAAAGTGACTTGCCAGAGATCACAGGTATAAGTGAAGAAGCTGGGATTCAGACCTGGAACTTGTGACTTCAAAATCAAATGGTTTTTTTTCCCCCCACAGTCCCACAGCTCTGATTTGTTCTTAGCCCAAGTCCCCAGGTTGATTTTCCTAGTCTTAATCATAGTTTGTACTGTCTAGAAGCTTCTTCTTCCACATTCTTCTTACTCAACTCCAGATCCCAATCAGGAGACACATTTTTCCAGGTAACTTGTCATGGTTCAGGCAGAAACATGCAGTTCTGTATGAGAAACCTACCTAGCACAGTGCTAAGAGGCAGTTCAGTGTTTATTGATGGGAAGCTAGTGAAAACAGATAGGAGGTGGGAACTCAGCCTTCAGAGGCAGTTCTTCCCCTAAGTTTTTCCCTACCACCCACCCTTCCCCTACATCTAGCCTCTCCTTTTTCTTCTCTATAACTTGTGGTGGGCCAGGGAAGGTGGGAGGGTGATAGGAAGCCAAGAAAAACATGAGAAAAATAGAGAGATAACAGCCTATAGGGGAGCAGTGAATGACATTTTAATGTGAAAATTGCCTGAGAATAGGCATGGGTCTGTGTGGGCATGTGCCAATTATATGCAAGCAATGCTAATTTTTCCTAACTGCAGCAAAGTCCTGGTATAACATGCTCCGTCCCCCCCCCCACCATAGACCAGCTCCTTTTTGCAGTAAAAGCCTGATGCAGCTGAGTAGGCTGTGTGAGGTGGGTACTGGCCCCTGCCTTACAGAGAGGCCTTATTATGTTTCATATGACTGGTTTCAATTCGATTCTATAAACATTTATCCAAGGTTTCTTCCAAATCTAAATCTTGTGATCCTGTTAATCACCTACTCTATGCAAAGCAAACATGGGGGATATAAGATTCACATAGATAAGCACTCTCCAAGGCAATTTGAGGCAGGGCAGGGGAAGGGAATGATCATTTCTATAGCACCTGCTATGTGCCAGGTGCTGTGCTAAACACTTTAGAGATGTACTCCCATTTGATCCTCACAACAGCCCTGAGAGGTTGGTGCTGTTATTATCCTCGAATTACAGTTGAGGAAACTGAAGCAAACAGAAGTTGAAGTGACTTCCCCATGGTCTCACAGCTAGTAAGTGTGTTTGGCTGCATTTGAACTCAGGCTTTCTTAACTCCAGGATCAATGCTCTATCCACTGTGCCATCTGGTTACCTAAACAGTAAGGGAGGGAGTCAGGAAAAATTTCATGCCTTGAAGGCACGATACGGAAGGGGCACATAGCAGGCATGGTAGTGGCATTGGACAGCTAGAAATCCAGTTTAACTACAGCCTAGAGTGCTTGAAGAGGAGGGATGGAAAGGTCTGGGACACAGCAGGAAGCTAGATTGTGAAATTCAGGCTTCTCTGCCAGCCTTGCGGCAACGGGGGAGCCACTGATGGCTTTTGAACAGGATAGGGATGTGTCCACGTGGTTGAGGAAGATTATTTTGGCAGCTGTGTAGAAAACAGGTTGGAGAGGGGAGAGACTGGAATAGCACCTTCAGAATGGTCTTCATCGGTAGCCTAGGTGAGAGAAGCGAGAAGAGCTGGAACAAGGCTGGTAGCTGCATAAGTAGAGAGGAGGGTGGATAGAATGGACACGACTTGGCAGCTCGTTAGATATGAGTCATTAAAAGAGAGTAAAGAGAATGATTCCAAGCTTAGGAATTTGGGTGATTAGGAGGAGGTGGGGATGCACTCAGCGGAATTTGGGAAGTGAAGGTGAGAGCAGCTCTGGGGGAGAAGATAGTCTCTCTTGGGTATGTTGAGGTTGAGAAGTCTAGGAGGCACTCTAGTAAAGGAGAGAGATTAGGCTTAGATAGAGTGTTTTTTTGGAGTTTTCCGAAGGGATAACATTTAGGGTTAGGGTTATTAAAGGGGAGAGACAGAGAGCGTTTCATATGGGTTGGAGAACCAGGCAAGGATAGTATCAAGGAATCCAGGGGAGGGAAGACCATTCAGGTGGACAACAGTATCAAAAGGAGGATGGAGGCTGCGAAAAGGCCATGTTAAAAGATCATTGATAGCTCTTGAGAGAAGAGCTTCAGTCAGGGATGGGATCAGAAGCCAGACTACAAAAGGTTTACAAAAGTAAGTGGGGGACTACAGAAATAGAGGCAGAGAATTTAGCTGCGAAAGGGAAGAGATATAGGATGATAACTTGAGGGGATGACATTGTAAGGGAAAGGGTTGGTTTATTTATATTTTTTAAGCTAAGAGAAACCTGAGCATGTTTGTAGGAGACAATAGATAAGGAAAGACTGAAGATGAGAGAGAAGGAATGATTTAGGAGCAAGCTCCTGGATAAAACACGATGTGATTCTAGGTATCAGTAGAAGGATTGACCCTGACAAAAAGAAAAGCTACCTCTTCCTCAAAGATGGGAGTAGAGGAGAAGAAGAAGAGAACTGGTGAGGATGTAGGAGCATTTTGACAAACGGCATAGGCAGATGAGGGGGCTCACAAAGTATGGGTTCTGTTTCCCTTGGTAAAGAAGGTGAAATCTGCCACAAGAAAAGGGCATTTGGAAGATTAGGCTTTGAGGGACTAAGACGTTTTGGAACAACCACCAAGGAGAGGAGGATAGAGAATCAACAAAAATAGAAAAGGATTGATTGGTTGTGACTTTTTGGAAGGAAATTATAGTGGAGATTGTTTCTTAGGGCTTAGTGA